TCTCTGTGGCTGCTCCGGCCCTCTGGAACGACCTCCCAGTGGAGATTCGGACCCTCACCATCCTTCAAGCTTTCCGCAAAGCCGTCAAAACCTGGCTGTTCCGACAGGCCTGGGGCTGATGAGTTCCCATCCCCACTCGAATTGTGTGGCTGTTGACTGCTTTTAAATTGTTTCCGTATTTTGTTTGTTTGTCTTTTGCTTTTTTGTTTGTATTATTCCCTCCCCTTGGTTTGTTAGCCGCCCTGAGTCCCTCCGGGAATAGGGCGGTATACAAGTTTAATAAACCTTGAACCTTGAACCTTGAACTTAAGAGTTTATTTCTGTACCCATTATGGCATGTGTTAGCTGTATTTCTTGCATTATCCTGTGTCGTTTGCTATTACTAAACCATTATACCAATATAGCTATTGTGAAAGATCCATGAGCAGAAGCAAACTTTTACTTACAGAACATTCCACAGTGTGGAAATCTTGTGTGTGGGGAAAGTCACAAAATACAAGGGAAATTTAATAATTTAAACAGGTAGTTTTGTGGAGTTCGTTAGTCAGTTTGTTAAAGCAGTTTCTGTGACACGTGAACCAGAAGACTTCATATAACACTTTATTTTTTCTATCTTTCCTTGAACTTTAAGATAATCTGCTTGTAGGCAGAGAATATAAATATTCATATATTTATTGGCAGTTTTTTAAAATTTAGTTGTTTTATTAATAAGAGTGCAATGATGCCAAATGCTACGTGTATGTTTGATAGTTCAGCTTATGCCAAGTCATAAGAAAAAAATGAGTTATTCAGAAGATAACTGAGGAGAAGCTGTGTTTGGTAGCCAAGTGCATCAAGCTGCATTAGGAAAAGGAACATATCATTTCTAAAAGAGTTTTATGGACATATTACTGAAATGTATATTCAGGCTTTGATGACGCTTACACGGCAGAGCCATAGGCCATCATCATAGGAAGCAGTAGCAGATGTTGCTCACCACAACCGAAGTAATTGCATGTCAATTTAAAATATATCATTGCAATTCCTAGTAATGAACAAGCCTTTTTTATTTCAAGCCATTCATTCTGACACAGATTGCAGCTAGTTTGATTTAATAATATTTGCTCTTACATTTGAATGTAATTTAGACACATCAGTGCTGAAATTCATTCCAATAGTTTATCCAAACAGACTGCCAGGATTATTTCATTTCAATAAAGAATATCAATTAAGACATAAAATAATCTAGTACGCTTAACTATGCTTTCAGAACTCCACATTATATGTTTACATCTGTTAGTTCAAAGTAACATTTTCTCAATTTATTTTCTCGATCTTTTCCCCCGCAGGATGCTATACTGGCTAATTCTAAAAAATGCAATCCAGAAATCAGCAGATTTAAACTAGGGGCAATTATTCAACTTCTAAACATTCCCAATTCCTTCAAGCTGTCTACATATTGCTTAGTTTTATTTTCTTGATCATGTTTTTCTGAGCCTGACCCATTTTGTCTAATATGAGGTGACCAGGATAGAACATAAAATTAAAGGTAAATTTTGATCAAAGCAGAATAAAATAAAATAATTACTTTGTGGTGATCTATGAACTATACTTCTATTGATGCAACTCCCCCCCCCTTTTTTGTAACGATAGCACACTACTGACACATATTTGCTACTATTCTAATACAAACCAGTAATTTACTATTCTATATCTGTGCATTCCAGTTACTTAGCTACCTTATTTTTTATTTCTGTTTGGTAAATTTTCAGATCACTTACTCTATTTCTTTAACCTAGCAAGATAAGTTTGCATTTTGTTCTTGTTTTCTACAGCATTAACTATTCCACCCCGTTTTTGTCATTCAAAAACGTATCCAAGTCATTAATAAAATATTGAGAAGAACTGCAGATGGCCCAAGAATGAACTCTATGGCACTTCATTTAAAAGCTTGCACCAGTTTGATGACAAAACATAATTGAATATCTTTAGAATATTACACCTGAACTATGTATTCTCTTAATTGCCATAATATAGAATCCATATTAATCTATTTTCTTAATCAGAATATCTAGGATACTTTATCAAATACCTTGCTGAAATCAAGCTTTATTGTATTTTCAACAATACCAAAATCTACTCTAGAAATTATTAATGAAAAGAATATATTTCTAAGTCATAAACCAATAACAAGAAGAAATTATTATACAGAAAAGCAATATGATGCAATTAAAAATAATTGCAATGCATTAACCAATGCACTAAATGATCAACTCACAGCACAAAAAGTCACATACTGGACTTCACTATCATCCTGGCCTAACATCTGGGGGGAAAACCAGATCTTCACTCTTTTCCAGAACATCCAGAGATATTTCACTAAATATTTGGCCAGCCTGTATAATTTGCCTTCTATTGTCTGTCCACAGATATTTTGCATAAAAAAGCGAATAGACTGAATTGACTCTATTTACCTCTGTACTGACATACTCTAGGTAATTAGTTTTATTAGAGCAGAACACTATACTACCAGATAACTCTGATCAGTACTATGCATTGCTTTGCTACATTTTTAATGCTTTTCCCTGGATCTACCAACTTCTTTTGTACAATATGCAAATTGCAGGTTGCTGTAGTTTCTAAATCAAAGCACAGATGGTATACTTACTTGGATTGCAGGTGTACCTCTCTTGTATATTGTAGGCTGTTCTTGCTTAAGAGTTTCAGAGACAGGGGTTTTATTGTCCACAGAAGTTACATGCTTTTTTCTACCTCTGGTGTAACGGTTATACCACAGAACATCAGATATAGGACTCACGCTATTAAAAAAAAATAGTTTGATAATTTTATTTCAAGGAGTTAAAATGGGGTTAATATTTTGTATATTCAAAACAATATAAGTAATATGTACTTCCTTTTTATAAATTATTCTTGCTGAATGTTGCATATATTTTCTAAAGCAAACAACCAGAAAATTACCTGTTAAAACATTATCCTTATATTATTGAGAACACAAAATGAAAAATTGCATCAAGCTGCTACTGACAAAAGTACTGTGATATAGTTGTCTTAATTTTATTTTAATAAGCAACATGCAAATCTCAATTGGGTATAATCTCTTTCAACCTCATAATATCAGTTTAATGTAATTCTATGCAAACTTATTCAATGTCCAAATATATAAACAGGGTTTACTCCCAGGTAAAGGTACTGCAGCTCTGTCATTCTATATATGACTTATTTGGCTGTAACGTCTACATCACTGATATATATTAGCATAATGCCCTCCATTAATCCATTTATCATATGTGTACCACACATTTATTCACTATGTCTCAACACAAGGGGAATGGCTATTTGGCTACAATTAGCTGAAACAACCATTCAGGGCAACCAATGCACAATTCATGTGTGTGCTTTGTAAGAGAAAGTCTTTTAGGTAGCCTTTGACTTATGTCCAGTCACTTAGGAACTGTACAAAATTACGATGGATCTCTCAAAAGGTACTTAGAACCGTCCTGATTTGGAAGTTACAATGGCCGCATTCTGTTCATCCAGTCACATGATCACATTTTGGGTGTTGGACACCAGCTAAGATTTATGTGTGTTTGCAGCATACCACAGTCACATGACTATGATTTGCAATGTTTTTTGCCAGTTTCCAACATTTACTTGCAGTTTCTGACAGAAAAACCCACACATTGGGTATAATGGAGTTGCTTAACAACCATGCATTCACTTAATGTTCACTGCATTTGCTTAACAACTGTCGCTAAAATGTCATAAACCTGGGTGCAGTCATGTAGTGACACACTTAACAACTGCAATGACTTACAACCAACATTCCAAGCTCAATTGCAGTCATAAGTCTTTTTCAATTGAATTTAAAACATTTTATTGGATTACAGAATAAAATGCAAAAATACAAAAGTAAATAGAAAGACACAGTGGGGAGGAAAGGGGGAAAGACAAGTGAGGAGGGGAGGAAGAAAAGAAAAAGCATTGACTTCCCACTCTCTCTGTTGCAGTAGAATAAAACATAACATCAAACCTCAACTTTTTACTTTTCCATAATAATATAAACTAGCCAATTATATAACAACAAATCAATCTAATCAGTAAAACCCAAAATCAAAATTTCATTTTTCCCCACCCCAAGTAGGTACTTCCTGTATCATAAGTACATGCTTATCCATGTACATATCTCAACAGTAGGGATAAAACCTGAGATAAGGAAGTTTGCATCAAAGGAATGGATGACGGTACTTTGAAAATGGTAAGACAGGAGAAGAGCCGTGGTGCCTGTGCAGTGGTTAGTATGCGCTATTGCAAGCTACTTCTGTTGACTGTTGACGGCTAGCAGTTTGGCACTTCGAATCTCACCAGCTCAAGGTTGACTCAGCCTTCCATCTTTCCAAGGTTGGTAAAATGAGGACCCAGATTGTTGGGAACAATATGCTGAATCTGTAAACCACTTAAAGAGGACTCTAAAAAGGTATATAAGTGCTATTGCTATTGGAAAGCTATAGCAAGGCAACTCTAGGTTTCTGGTGCAAATGATTGTCACATGCATTATAAAAGAGAGCTGAAGTTCATAAAATTACCTTATTCCAGAGGATACAATTCCCAGTTAGCCACAGATATTTGAAAAAGTGTGCATTAACTGCCCTCAAGTTCCAAATGTTTTTCTGTTTACAAATTTAGAAAGGATTTAAAGTTTCAAGCTACTTAAGTACATATATGTTCAACTACTATGTTTATTTCCCACCTTTTGCCATTCCAGGGAAAAATTAACAAAATGTAAATAAAAAGTAGAATCTGCAAAATTAAGCCACAAAGTACAATTAATAGTAAAATAAATACTAAAGCCATCTAACAAACCTGGCATAAATCATCCCTGTGTAGATGTCCAAAGTACTGAGAGAATGGAAGCCAAATATAATCCACAAGGGAATGCCTTTTTTACCCTGATGGTAACATTGGAAAAGACCTTCTTCTTGGTGAAATAAAGATGAACTTCTGACAGTGGAGGCCTCTTCACTTACAGATGCTCTTTATGGAAAATGAGGGGGCTTGGCACTATTTTTCTCTAGATTGCCTCAAGGAGATTATTCACTGAACATTTCATTCACTAACCATCTCCTGTCATTCTTCTTTAGAGAGGTTTATTTTCAACTGAGATCCTCGGCATTCAATAGCAAAAGCCCTTGTTTGACTTATTTTTAACTTACTAATTTATGAACCACTGCATAATTTGTGAGCCACTTGACTATACAAGAATCTTATTTAAAAGCAACCCCATTTTGCTTCAAACTGAAGGGCATTTTATATGACGCATGTGCAGTCAGTTCCTGTCATTTCCTGTGGGGAAAGGGGGGAACATCCCACATGCACCTGCCATCCACGCGGAATGGCCTTGTGGAGGCCACTCCCACAAATCCTAGCTACCATGCCCCTTCTCTTAGTGGCAGCTGCAAAAAGAGTGGCAGGCCCAGAGACGCTAGGGCTGGCAAGAGTGTGCCAGAAACAGAGACAGAACTTCCAGCCCTCTTTGAATCAGCTGATGCATGGGCCAAGATTAAGGGACCTCCTGCACCTCAAAAATAATAAGACCTCCCCGAAAATAAGGCCAAGTGCTTATTTCAGGGGTGAAAAGAAAATAAGACCCTGTCTTATTTTGGGGAAAACACAGTAATAATAATAATAATACACAGGAACTAAAATAATGCCTGATTAAAATAACACTACCATAACATGCACTGCACATTCAAGAACTGGAGTATTTGGCAGTTCAACTGAATAGTATTTGCCTAATGGGCTAAGATCTATAATTAGAAAGACATTTCAAATGTATGCTGAAATACCAAATATGAATATCAGTATGACTAAAACTTGCAATAATCTTGTCAGCTTTCACAGGGGTGTAACATACACTATAAATTTACTCATAGCTCCCATTGAATATTACAGTCTTCATTTCAAATTTAATTTGTGTCTGATTTATGCTTTTTAAAATTTTGTATAGCTTCCCAATTTACAAATGCAACTGAAGGCTAACAAGGGATTAAAAGCAAAACCAAGTAAATAATCAACATAAAAAATCATAACAGAATTTTAAAAATATATAAACAACGCCCTAAGTTATAACATATTCAAAAATTAAATTCTTTTTCCAGATGGCCCCTTTCAATGTCCTAACCCAGTACTCCAGGGGAGGGGGGAATCAAGTTTTTAAAGACTTAAAGAAGGCCAGAGGGGTTAGAGCCATCTGAAATTCAGATATGCTGAGCCATTTGAAAAGGATATGCTGTTCTAATGGTCAAGTACTTTCTCAGAGAATGCACACTTCCTGGGTCTCATTAAATGGCAACTGTAACAATGGTTATTATAGAGTGCAAAATTATATTGACCAGCCTTTGCCAGACCAGCATTTCAGTCTCCCCCTCTTCCCAATTTCAAAATATGGATAACAAAATCATCCATTCTATAGGGCTGTTTAAAGAATGGCCAAAGGAATTACATTTTTCAACTTAGTTTTTAACTTGATACAGATTTGAGGATGATGCTGGCACCTCCCTTGGTCGATATCGCACTGGCTAGGAGATCAATTTTAACTGTCTTTATAATCATCTTACTTATCTAGCTTCAGCCCAAAGGTCCACGAGTGGTCATAGAAACGTTTACTTAAATAACCTTGTTTCCTAAAAGGGTCATAACAATTTAGCAGCTAAGTGTTCTCTTGTGAAATTATTCAGACAGAGATGGAACAATAATAATCTGAATTTTTTAAACAAATTAGCACACTGGATAAACATTCCATTATTATGTGTGTGAAAGCATACTATTAAGATGATGATTCCAGTCTTAAAATATGTGTGCTTGAAAAATCACTGTTATGTTTCTGTAGTGCCAGAGCTGAGGGAAAAAGTGAATTGATGGAGCTGCATTTCTCTTTCAAGTTTTCAACATTGTCTGTAGACGCACAGCATGGTGCCAACATGTAAAGACATGCATTTTGCATTACATATCTTCTGTACTCTCTCCAAAATATATTGGACTCATGGAAAGAGCAACCTGAAGACATTAGTTAAAAGGAAGTAAATTGTCAGTTCCTTAAAGAAAATGTGACCTTCTGCCAAAACAATGCACTGTCTGTCACTCTTCATCAGAATAATAGCCTGACAAATTTATTGTTGTAAGTATTTCATTTTCCTTGCCAAATAACGGAGTGTTATCAAACAAGATGGTTGTCAACATTCAGCCTCATTTCAGGCAATACAAAATATAGACAAGCAGTTACACTATGATTACATGGCTCTCTATTTAACTGTTCTGAATTTTGGAAGAAGCCTTTTCAGGAAAACAAACAAACTCTTAGAACTTTAAGGCAACCTTTCCAATCTGGCTATGTTAGGATTACAATTTTAACATTTGCAAGATGGCTAACAATTCTAGAGGGTTGTAATTGTAATGCATCTTGAATATCCTAGCTAAAGTAAGACTCTTACACAAAAGTCAGCATCATTATGCAGCTACTTTTCTGTATAACTATCACTGAACTTCAGTAACACCTGCTTCAAACCTCTGCTGTGTTTGTTATTTCTTCTTTCTAATTCATTAAGCTCCCTTTGTCAGCCTCTGGTGCTTCTTCATTCACTCCTGCAGACCACCCCTCCGACCTGAACACATTATTGCAAAGCTGCCTTTACAGTATTTTTCTATCCTTTTCCTGGCGTTTCTCAGTTTCAAGGTATGTTTGAAAGTGGAGAGGATTCAGGAGTAGAGTTTAGAGTTTTAGAGTTTTATTAGAATTTGTAGG